CCCCAAAACCCCAAAACCCCAAAACCCCATTTTTGTAGCAGATTTGAAGAATTAATTTAAAATTTTCTTTGGGGTATTGTAGTGAACTTATTGGTCTCTCTCATGAAGTCATCATCCACTTCTTCATTTGGACGCACCTTGACTCTTGCTTCATCTCTTTCGTTGAAATCAATGAGTTTCTTGATCCTGTCTGGACTCAGCTTGGAGACTATCTCTGAGTTATCAATGACTGCTGCAGATTCAATGTCTCTGAAGTTTCCATCATTGTCAATATTTTTGAAATATTCCAGCACCTCTGTCATTTTGTTTTCACTGTAGTTGAGCCGCTTCTCAAGAGCACCAACTGTTTTTCCGACCAAATCAAGCTGGAAGACCATTTTGTCAAGAGTTTTCCTAAAAGCTTCGGGAACTTCTTCATATTCAAGGAGGGTTTTCTCTTCAGGTTCCGCCTCTGGGACTGGCTTCTGGTTCTCCCCGATTTCAATATGTGGAGCTTTAGAGAGATCTCCTTCGATCACTTTGTGATCTTCTTTACCTTCAAGGTTGGGTGCCTGGTCTGTATTAGTGTTAATAACTTTAGTCTCCTTCATAACAGAGTCTTCAAAGAATTCAATGTATTCAGGATTATTACTCTCTAAGTTAGACTTCCAGATCTGGATGTTGGTGTCCTGCCCTCCTGTGGCAAAGTAGTTACCGTATGTACTGAATGCAGCTGCAGAGGTAGTCCCGTCATGTGCATACAGAGTGTACAGGATGCTTCCTTGTCTCAGATCCCAAATTTTTACAGTGGCGTCTTGGGATGTCGAGATCAAATAATTCCCTGATGGATGGAAGTTTATTGAGTTAACTGCCTTTCCATGAGCATCATAATGCTGCAAAAGTCTTTGACTTCTAGCATCCCAGATCTTAATGGTATTATCAGTAGCTCCGGATGCAATACAGGATCCATCAGGATGGAATCTAATGCTATTTATCATCCCAGTATGATCTGTAAGACAGGCCATCTCTTCACAAGTAGTTGAGTCCCACAGCTTAATGGTTGTATCGTCACTCCCAGAAATAAGGACTGTGGAATCAGGAGACATATGGCATGTTCTTACCCAGTTCTTATGTGCTGCAATAGTGGCTAAAAATTTATTCTCAGTGATATTCCACATTCTGAGGGTCTTATCGTCTGAGCAACTGAGCAAGAGTTGTCCATCGCATGAGAATCATAAATCTCTGACCGGGCCAGTGTGAGATTTTAGCGCCTTATTAAATCCTTCCATAGAGTTATTCCAAATCCTGATTGTTTTATCTGAGGATCCTGTTGCAATGAGATTACCAGATGGATTCACACTAAGAGCGTTGATTGCTCCCTTATGTGCATCAAACACATAAGGCCTTGAGTTTTTCTTATAGTTCCACACATGAACTACAGCATCATTGCCTGTAGTAATAAGCTGCTTCAGGTTGGGGTTGAACTCAATCCTGGTGATTCTTTCTCTATGCCCCTTGAAGGACTTCAAGCTCTGAGGGTTAGTATCCTCTGCCTCCTCTTGTCTCTGGAACATACCTGTGTTATATAAAGAGGACATGTAATTATTCTCTTCAGGAATTGGGTCCATTTTGCAGAAATATTATTTAAATTATTTAAATTCAAAGCTGAAATTCCCTCTAGGGGTTTTGGGGTTTTGGGGTTTTGGGGTTTTGGGGTTTTGGGGTTTTGGGG